AATCGACCGGTCGTTCCACTGTTCGATTCAAGGTCACTTTGAGACCAGTGGATCGACCAGTTCGCTGTTTTGGTTGTAGCTACATCAACACACAAAAGCCTCATCAACAGGCATAGCAACAGGCATAGCAACAGTCATAGCAATACCTGCCAACAAGGATATCCCATGGAAGAAGTAGCAATGAGCCGTAGCAGCTCAAAGAGCGCGCTGAAAGAGGAAGAGGATAGGGACGAACTGCACACTCTGGCAACTAGGCATCGGTCGCAACCTAAACCTCGACCGAAATGAGTTAGTGACTGAATAGGTTTCGATTTGGGTTCCAGCTAAAAACCAATCGACCAATATTGGGTGCGACCTATTTTTTAGTGACTGCTCTTAGTTCCAAACTTGCAGAAGACCCGAAAAGAACTCCCAGACTCGACTCCTGCGTGTTGGAGAAACAGAACTAGTTTTTGCACCAGATGCTTGGGTTTTCACGCAAGAGACCAAAGACATTGCCCAATTTCTTTGGAGCCCATGATGCGTTCCAATCTCCTCGCATTGCCTCCTTCAATAGGCCGACGAGAACTTCTGCAGAGGTTGCCGCATCCCGAGCCAAGCCCCGGCCAAGTTTGTTGAGACCACAATAGTAGTTGATTTGTACGCCAACTTCATCAATGGGTTCCATCCGGTCCACGCCGGGTGCAAGTTGAGTCAATTTCGTTGGACCCAGCAGGTCGCCTCGAATGCGAGTCAATGTTGCATTCTCTGCCTTTACATGGTTCAAAATCTCCTGACGGTGATTCTGTTCCACACAACCCTTGATATCAATATGTTGAAGATGCACAGACTGCTTCAATGCGACAAATATGATGTCGAGGTCAGCACGAAAGCCGTTCAAAGTCAAACTCTCCAACCTGTTTCGCCCCAAGACTTTTACCACAGTCTTTGTGATTGCGATGCCCCCGACAGAATCAGCCATGCCAAGCACTCTTGCAAGGTACAATGTCTTGAGGGTTGGAATGGAGCCAATGGCTGCATACAGAGGATTCCAAACCCAGAGGGGAACGGGCCGTGAGAGGGTATAATGCGATTCTTGGCACTTGCGGCTCCAAAGCTCCAGCGAAAGGGTTTCCAACTGACGAGAACCCTGCAATGCTTCTGTGAAAGTCTGCCAAGAGAATTCTCCATGTAGTTTCCAATTGATATTGACGTCCAACTTGACAAGTTGTGGCAACAGTCTCGCCATGGTCCTGCAATGGTCCAAGTGGCTTGCAAAGTGGTAGGATAACCCATAGACCGGGAATTTTGAAAGCTTTGGGCAGTTTGGAATGAGGTAATTCAATATATCTTGTCGAGTGTATTGATAGTTTGAAGATTCAAAGGCACTGTTCAGTACATGTTCCTGGTCTTGCTGGGATTGGAGGCCGCCGCATTGAACGACGGCATCCACCAGCGCCACGATGTCCACCAATGGTCGATTATTGCGACAAAGACTAACGATTGAGTCAACATTTACTGCCTCAGGGCTGGTCTCAGCTAAGAACGGAATGATTCCACTGGCAAGTAGATCACCTATGCGGCACGCTGTTTGGAGTGGGAGTCCTGCTGCCGTCCACGTAGTACTTGGGCTCCATTTCAGCTTCGTGGCTTGTGGAAATTTCTCGCAGAAGGATTTGATCACTTTCAACCTGGCACCGCCAATGATCAAAAAGGCGAGGGGAGTAATTCTGTTGTGGAATCTGCTGGTGACCAATGACGGATGTTCCTCGCAAATGGCAACAACTTGCTCCGCATCTTCATCGCACAAGCGGTTGCATTGGATGCTTTGAAAAATGATGGACTCCAGCTTTTCGCTTGCAGTGGACTCACAAAGATCCCGTCGATGTTTTAGCTGGTTCCCTTCACCATCATTGGGGGAGGGTTGATGCTTCGGCATTTTCGTCAATGACAATGACGATCAAAAGATGGATCGACTCGACTGAGCACTCGACTCGTGGCTTCAGCTGCTGTTGCAATAAGCACAGGTGTCAGGAACTAAAGAGTCTGCCGCAATGACAGGGACTCTTGACAGCAATGTTGTGTTTGAAATGGAAGGACAATGACGAGGAATTGGACGCCAAGAAAAGAAAGAGAGACCCGTTGATAAAACTATGGAAAATAATAATAATATTTATACAAGCGGCATGTGGGGGACTTTAGGGGGTCAAAATATAGTGATCTGTTGCAACGCTCCATGCCGCTCCTGTTGCCGGTCCTTGTTTACTGAAATCAACTTTCGCCATGAACCATGGGTAAGCAGAGTAATGTAGATTACATGCAGACCTGCATTTGCTCTTGGCATAGACTGGTTGCCACTGCAGATAGTGTTTCGGCTGAGCAGAAGACAGTGGCTGCTGATCCTCTCACTTGCTCTGGGAGGTTTGTTTGTTTGTCACAAAGATTAGTAGTTGTTATTTTTTCTACTGCGCCGAGGGCTTGCTTTTACTTCACTCAGAATGACAAGGGGCGTCACTTGCTCTGGGAGGATTACCATGGTGCTTTCTCAAAGCCCACCCATCCCTCTCTGGTGGATCAGTGCAGTGTTCGGGATCCATCAGTCAGGTGCAAATCATCCACTTCTGTCCCCAATCCTAGCTCTATCAATCTGGCTCTACATCGAGGTATACCGTACCTTCTCGCTGGCTGTACTTACCATAGATAGCACTAGGAACCACTGCCCCATCCCCCATGTCATCTGCAGCGCAGAAGCTGAGGTGGTGGCTAGGAGTCCATGCTGAATACATGTAACCACAGCAACAAAGCCAAATTCGTTGGCCCCCGTACCAGTCCTCAATTTATCGCCCCTGATCCCACGAAACCCAGTTCTGAATTTCGCCTCTTCTTTGCAAAGCCTGGCCCTTGCTGGCTTCCGTGTACCTTACATGTACGTGTAATCCACCCCATTCTATGACAAAGATCTGAAGGACTCCTGTGGGACTGGTCAACCTATCCCACTCTCTTTTCATAAGCCAGTTGAGATGCTTTATCACAAAGAGATCAAAGCATGGCTTGAAAGAACTCCCGCGGCAACAAGAGTTGTCGACATCATGAGAAAACGGACGACGACATCGACGATTCGATTCAATGCTATAGCTAAGTTAGCCGACTTCCAGGGAAGTGTGAAACGAACTGGTCAGATGCTCGGAAGGAATTCAACAACGTGGCGCAATGCTCAATCAATGCATTTAGCATTCCAATCTTAGGAACGCAGGGTTGGCGATGCCGCCCAGGAAAGATCTTGGAATCCTAAACGAATGAGCTCGCGGAAAGGCCCTCATCGTGGATCCGTCCCTCACGCTACGGATGCGTGTGGCGTTGCACCCTCCGAAGCAACTACCTGGGTTGTTTCTTGTTTCATCTAGCTGGGTATCTGTTGGAAACGTTGAGAGTACCAGGCTAAAAGTTAGATAAGGGTATCTGTAATCTAGGTCTAGAGTTTATCGTATATATATGTATTGTGTATCTGTGGGGCGGCCGGCCAAAACTAGAAAGCCTCACCAAAACTTCTTTGTATGCTGTGAATCATGAAGGAGATTCCGTTTCTCGTATGTACAGTTTGTATGTACAGGAAGGGGAATGACTGTTTGAAATATACAATGGGTTGCTCAATGGGGTATATCATGTCAATCTAAAACCCAGAATCGGAAATGGTCTGAAGCTTGCTGGAGCGATGAATTGGATTGAAGCCATTGAGAAAGTTGCGCTCCGCGGGGCTCTCATCGTTGCCGCCAGCAAAGTCGACAAAAAATCCCCAGTCATCAGTGGCATCATCTGCGGTTGAAGTGGATGGGACGCGAAGAGACTCAACTTGACTTCGTGAGCTTGCATCCAAAGACTGTCGTTGCTCACTTGCATCCAAAGACTGTCGACGCTCACTTGTATCCAAAGACTGTCGACGACCGCTCGTGTCGAGGGAGCCGTTTCTCGCTGATGCTGCCGATCCCTTGTAGCTGTTCCAGCTTCCAGTGCCACTGCTTCGGCGACCGCTCATGCTGGGCTTGCTGTGAGCAAGCATCATATTGTTTCGAGTCATAATGCGAGGCATGGTGGTAGTTAGTTGTTCCGAGTGGGCTGTTGCAGCGTATAATGAATGAATGGACAACGCTGAAAACAGGAACAGATGAAATTTTATGGAAGGCATCAAGAGCCATCAGCCATCAAACAAGAGCGGTGGATCTTCCCTGCTTCCGGAAAAAAGAGAGTGTTCAGCGATGAATGCGGCTTATGTCAGCCCCATCCACTGAGGTCAGCACAGTACAAGCCAACGTAGGTTGGAGACTCCGAGAGTTTTCTCCGTGTGAACTTGCATTGATGATTTAACAAACTCGTGCTCTTTATGAGCGCATCACTCATTGGGTTTCCGAGATTTAAAGGGCGCCTGGGAATGAGAATGCGTGGAAGGCTGTGGACCCAATGGCTGCTCACCACGCAAACTCGGATCGAATGAGCTCCGTCCGAGAGGATACTGTAGTCTACAGTACGGAATTGGTGACGATCTTGGTTTGGACCATGCAACGTTGCAGGACCTTCCATGACAGGTAGAGAGGTCTAAAGAAGGCAAGTCAGAAGGCAACAATAGTCGGAATGGACTCGACTCTGTGGGATTTCTTTTTTCGTGGGATTGTCTTGTAGGAATGAGACTTCTTTGGGAGAGAGAAAGTTGATGCGGAGCTCTTTTAGTTTCCGTTGGAACTTGGATTTTTTTGGCTGTCTAGATGCCACCTCTGCGTGTCATCTTCATCGTCACTGGCTGTGGAAAACGGTGGGGCCTCATCTATCTGTTGCTGAGTTTCTTGATGGATATGAATCCCTTGTAGTTTGTCTAGATATTTAGTTGCACAGCTCAGGAGATGCAGCCAGCTGGCTGCTTCGCTCGCTCTCTATCCGCATGGCTTGCAGGCTGCCTCACTGCAACTTGCTTCGGTTCATTCTCAGCTACAAAACGGTACAGCCAAGGAGCCAACGGATTGCAAGTGGTGCGGCGTTCAGATACCGCATCCTGTGTGGTACATGGCTGGTACATGGGCTGGAAGAACTGCCGCAAGATCGAAGCGACCCGAAGACCAAAGTAGTTGGAGACTCACATGATTCTCGGCAGGATACGGAACTAGCCACTGAAGGCACTTTAGGACCCTCGCAAGTGAGCAGAAACGCGAACAGACAGCTAGCTAAACTATTGTACATGAACCCTGCAAAGCACCTGTAGCGCGATGAACTTGCTGTTGCCAATCAATGTCCTATTGTTGGAGCGATGAAACTTTCTTAAAATCCAGCATTTTAGTTAGGGATAAGGTCTTTAGTCACACGGGATCCCCCATGGGACCTTCAGCCTGTTAATGGCTCATGGTGACTTTGGCAGTCGGACACCTCGATATCTGTCTGCATTCGAAGATGACATTGGAAGAGACCCAGGCAAGGCATCGCAAAGAGCTCAAAGCTCTGGATGGCGAGAAGCGTTCCGCACTGAAGAAGGCGAAAGGCACAGCCGGAAAGGGAAAGAAGGGCAAAGAAAAGCTAGCCGAGTGAGTAGAAATAGGTGGGGGTATCCACGGTTGCGAGACCGTCATCATCAGCTAACTTACTTTTTCGTGTCGTTTTCTTCTTTTTATCTATCATTTGAAAGATTGGAAGCAGAATACGATGCCAAGCAAAAGGCTCTGGAGGAGAAGCATGCCAAAGAAATTGCAGAATTGAGTGGAAGTGGTGACAGTAAGGATACTCCTGCTCCTGCCCCCGAGCCCTTGGTGGAGAAAACGGCGGAAGAAGAGGAACGGGAACGAAAACAGGCCAAGGCACGACGAAAACGAGAAAAGGCCAAGGAAAAGGAACGAGATCGAGAATTGGAAATCGAACGGGAAAATGCCGAAGCAGGTCCATCCTTGCGAAAGATTGAACTGGAACGCATCGAGCAACAACTTACGCCATTGGGCTTGAAAATTGAGGAGATTGCGTCCGATGGAAATTGTCTCTACCGAGCAGTGGCGGCTCATTGCGGCAATTCGTATCAAGAAACTCGTAAGTGCTTTGATGATTGAATTCACTATGGTGGCTAGATTCACAGAACATCATCAATCTACAAACATATTGCTCAAACTCTGTTCACTCGATCGTCAGGAACTCTTTGTGCTGATTCCCTGGCCAAAAATGAAGCGGAATTTGCTCCCTTTTGCGAATACGACGATGACAAAACACAGGATTTTACCCAATACGTGGAACGTGTCCGCAACTCTGCCGATTGGGGTGGCCATTTGGAATTACGGGCGCTGAGCCTGGCCCTTCAAAAACAGATTGTCGTGTACAGAGCGCAATCCAACGAACCATTGCGTATAAAACCCGAAGAAAGTGCGGGAGACGATGATGAAAATGCAATCCGCTTGTCGTATCATTTGAATTATTACGCTCTGGGAGAGCACTACAACCGAGTGGTCAAGGCATCTGCTACTACTAGTTGACACGGTTGAAAAATTAACTACACCCTGCGAATGCAAAATCAAACTCATTCCTTCAGCATGCTTCCAAGTTCGGGACGTTTGTCTCTCTGCAGTGTCAGACCAACAGGCAGACTTGATTGGCAGATTTAAGTTTCTGCGAAAGCATAGAATTTATGGCGAAGAATTCTGTACATCACTACCATAGCAGATAGCAACCAAAGCAAAGTGTTCGTTCATATACTCTCAGATTTGATTCCTCCAGTCTGATCCGCCCATGTAGCTTGGAGGCTCATGCATTCCCTCCTTAGACCGGCAAACTGAATGCGACCCAGAGGTATACCTTGAGGTATTTTAAAATAGTACGTACCGGTAGGTCGAAGCGCACCTCTTATCCCAAGCGGCATCCTTTAGGATATCATTGGCGAAAGGACCCAACTCACTTTCATTTGCCCCTATGCATTGGAACTTTGCCAGATACCCCAACCAAAAACCAAAGCCGCGAAGAGAGCAACTGGCAGCCTTCCATGCGACAGCGTCCAACCGGTCAAAGCAACTAGCGAAAGACAGACAAGCATGGTTTACCACTGGAAAGAGCCAAAAAAGGCACATTCGGAAGGTCATTTCCACGGTTTGCTCGTGAATGAGAATCGCGGTATCCTTGGTCTCGCGCCACGCTCCCTCCGCCTTCGCCAAAGCAGCTAGCTAGCCGTTGCCGCCACTCAAAAAAGTAGTCACCATTATTCGAAAACACTTGCTGCTTGTTATCTTACTGAACCCTCTTCGATCCCTCCCTCCTCTACTTTTATTCCTCTCCCTCATTAAATCACAATGGCAACTACTTCACCTACTGCTGGCAATGCTGCTGGCAATGCCGCTGCTTCTATCATGGGTCTCGTGGGCTCCGTGTAAGTCGAGGTCGTTGTGGCATTTTGGGAAAAGAGTTGGATCTGGTCATTTGCAGTAGCTCGGCTACCAAGACCTACGCGATCTGCGAAAGGTTAATGATTTTTGGATCAATGATCCCATCAAGTTGGGTTGATAATCTGTGGAACCTATGTCTGACCTATCTGTTCGTTATCTTCTTGTTTTGCCCTTCGCATATCCTATCCATATCATTGGCTACCCTTTTATCCTGGATCATACGACAATCATTTCCCTCCAATGCATCAAATAATTTGTTGCTACTGCTACCACCAAACTAAACAATTATCCACAACATGGCAGCAAGGAGAAATGGGAAAGCAGTGGTGCCAGCCGAGCTGTGAGCGATGTCTACGCGCAAGTTCCCCAGGGCACCAAGGATTATTTTGCTGTGGCGTCCCAGCAGCTCTTCAGCCGTCAACATTTGAGGCCAGTCTCGGTGGTCTTTGGCATTGGTGAAGAAAGACCCTTCTATGTGGAACGGCCTGGCACTCTTTTGGTGGAGCGTATACGCCACAATCTTTCCTTCTTCTACCTCAACTACATGTTTTTGACGGCCGTCCTGTTCACCTTGACCCTTATCATTAGTCCCACCGCTATTATTGGAATTGGATTGTTGGGAGCTGCCTGGATGTACATGATCCGATCAGCCACAAATGGCCATATCAAAATTGGAGGTAAGATTCTGTACAGTTGCTGAGATCTGATTTGCTTTTGGATGCTGGTTCCAATGGATGTTACTATTATTGATTTCTGATCCAGCCTTCACAACTTCCTTTGGTCCTTTTAATTCTCGTCAAGCAGCCATTAATATTCAACAGAAACACGCTACCATTGCAATGAGCATCATCAGCGTCTTTGTACTCTTTTGGCTCCTTCAAAAGATCTTCTGGTGGACCCTCTTTTCCTCCGGCTTCCTAATATTGGCCCATGCCCTTTTCAGAGACGCCTCGTTGCATAAGGATACAGAAGATCAAGTGGATATGCAGGGCGAATTGACATTGACACCGGTTGAAACAGGAGAGGATGCTGCCTTTTTGAAGAACGATGATCTGGCCTAACACGACGACAATAACAGCACAAGGATGGACAGCATACCAAACGTACCTTAACGATGCAACAATCATTGCGACTAGATTGGTGATACATCCAGCTGCAAGAATTGCAAGGTTGATGCATCTTCTTTTGGTAGAGATTGGTGGAAGTGGTTTCCATAATTGCACAGATGAACGATTTAGCATGGTTTTAAAATTGCGTACAACAATTATGGGATATCAACCACAAACCACTTGGAAAAATCATAGGAAAAATCGTAGGGGGAGAGTGAGAGGAACTCCTGCCTGCCCCTTATGTTTTCGTAGACCAGACGCAGATGCCTCTTCGCGTGGCATAATTACACCACAAAATGAAGGGAATACAGTTTTGGTGGTTTGTGAGTTGCTTCTTTCCGCTTTAGTCCAAAACTATTGAATCCACCGGAAGGAAACCCAAAGTTCGTCGGCTTCGAGCTTTTACCCTTAGCATAGTCCAAACAGCATTCATCAGCCACGGAGCTCTGAGCCGAGTAGAACCTTGATGTACCCTTTCCCGTCGACCTATGTTTCCAGCACGCGGTAACCGCAACGGAGCTAGGGCACTCTCACCACTCCCAGCCTGCCCGCATTTTTCTGACGAGTGGCATACTTCAGCGTACACTAAGCAAGGGTCTGCAGAGAGCGTCTCTGAGGCTCTAGCTATTATAGGTTGGCTAGTGACTTGTGTCTGGCTATTTAGAACCAGGCCGGTATTTATTTATCTAGAGTTCCTCTTGAAATGGATCTCCTACTTCGTCCCACAAGGTCTCGACCGTGTACGCGCTTCCTGCTAGTGCCCAAAAAGCACCGTCTACATAACGACGATGAATATCCATGGCGTTGAGTTTCTCCATGGCGGCATCGTCCAAATGGACAGTTTCTGGAACCTCCAAGTTTTGCTTTAGACGCTCAGGATTGACCGACTTTGGGATGACCGCAGAACCCTGTTGGATACCCCATTTCAACAAGACACCGGCAGGAGTAGCACCGACGGCAGCTGCCACTTCCTTTACTGTGGCATCTTCCAACAAGACGGGTTCTCCTTCCGGTTTAAATGCTGCAGGGCGATCACCCGATCCCAAACTGGAATAGTTGGTAACAAGAATTCCATTCATTCTGCAGAACTGTACCAAGTGTTGTTGTTGCAGATATGGGTGTCGTTCCACCTGATTGACTTCCGGTTTGATGCGGTAATTTGCGAGAATTCTTCCAAGTTTATGGGTGCTAAAATTGGAAACGCCAATGTGACGGGCCAAACCCATATCGACTGTTGATTCCATGGCTTTCCAAGTCCTTTCGCCATCAAAATGAAACATGTCATGCTTATCTTGGGGAAATGAAACTCCATTCTTCAACGAGATGGGCCAATGAATAAGGTATAAATCCACATAATCGAGTTGCAAATCGGCCAGAGTCTTTTTCAGGGCTGTCGACACTTGTTCATGGCTGTCATTCCACACCTTGGACGTGATCCACATGTCCTCTCGCTTGACAATTCCCTCATTGAAACTTTCCGCAAGGGCTTCACCTACTTCCTTTTCATTGCCGTAAATGGCAGCACAGTCAATGTGCCTGTATCCCAGCTTGATGGCTTCCTTGACAGCTGTCTTGACTTCGTCGGGCTCGGATTTCCAGGTCTAAGCAAAAATCGACGACAAGTCAGGAAGAAGGTAGATGAGCAGATTATTAATAATTGAGGCAGTGAAGGAATGACCCAAACGATATGGACCAAGTTGGGCACAATTTTTCAGCTGCCAGGCAGAAGCAACAACTCACCCCAAGTCCGAGTAGAGGCATCTCATCCCCGTTTTTAAACTTATGGGTTGGCATTTCTCCCACCACAAGGCCAAGCCAGGCCAAGACAAGAACAAAAATTTCACTTCTCAACATCGCTGCTTTTGATTTTTAAAAGCTCAGGTTGCGCTTTTATAGTTCAAAGAGGTCTCTGCTCAATGCTCAATGGTCAATGGTAAACCCGAAGTTGACTTTCTCAATGGTCACCACGACTTCAGCAATGGTCCCATGTCGACAGCCTCACGACCCTGAGCACAGAATCGAATCAATCACAGCGAAAGATACAATATGGATACTGGTCCCTGGAATATCCGTGACCCGATAGTACGATCGATCAGTCACTAATCGAGGGTTTCATTCGATCCTCAATGGTGCCGTACACGGTACCAGAACTAGCTAGACTAGCTAGTAGGTACCGGTACGCTGTACATTCGTACCGATACCGGCACCAGTCATACGATTATTTTACCGGCACCAGTACCAGTACCTACCGGTACGGAATTCAACATCGTAGTCTAGCTAGCTAGTCTTTGGAGGCACAAACCGAATGAAGCTTTGCACTGGCAGTACCGTACAAGACTTGTGTGGAGCGGCAGTTGCTCTTTGGCGTTGCCCAGCTACGGTCGTACTGGTAGTGAACAGTGACAGAGAAGGTCTAAACAGCCCTCCACACTTACCATCGTTGACACGGACCTTCTCTTTGGAGGCTGGCCTGTTGCTTGTGCCAAGGAGGATAGATTCTGCAGCAATGAGCAGGCTCTTTTTTCTGTCTAGCTGACAAAACGGCTGAGTCATCTGAGAAACCATACAAGTGCTACAGTTAGCAATAGTGCATTCGAGTACGGTACAATGCATCCATCTTCTTAGATGATTTAACTTCGATGCCTTCTCTCGTCTCCTTAGTAGTAATACGGTAGCCGCCTAAAATTCATCCCGGGATTCGCAACTTTCCATGCCTTCCGTTCATCAGGAGTAGGACAAGACCATGTCATTTGTCCATAATCACGATGTCTTGATGCACACTTACTTTTTCGATTACCGGACAGTACTGACGACCCCAGTCGTCCAAATCCTCCCACTCCAGCGGCATGGCACTGGGAAGGTGGCACTCCATTTTACACCATCAGGTTCCATCTCTTGCAATGGTCTTGGCGGTAGGGATTTCCCAAGCAGGTACACCCCGACCATGGACAGTGGCATTCATACTTTTGGCCATGGCTGGATAAGCACCAGGCCAGCTTTCGTTTTGGAAATCTCGCCTGTGCTCCATGACGGACTTTGTGTTTGCAGATATGAAACCAGTTCGGCGGAATCACTGGTCATGCATTTAAGCATACTCAGTGGTTACAAGGATGAAGCTATGGTTAGTCTCTTGCCCCTTTCAAAGGGTTTCATTATTCATCCATCACAGCTAGTCAGAGAGAGCTACATGCATCAAAGTAACAGCTAGTGATTTTAAGAATTCTAAATGGAGGCCTTCTAGTTTCGACGACGTCTCCTCCGTCGTTTGATCCCAGGGTGTATTGCTTTGAACGCCTTTCTCTCATCGGGAGTAGGACATGACCATGCCATTTCCGAATAATCACGATGTCTAGATGCGCATATTTTTCGATTACCTGACAGCACTGACCCCAGTCGTCCAAATCCTCCAACTCCAGTGGTATGGCACTTGGCATGTGCCATCATCCACATGTCCTCAAAGACAGGGTATCCACCTTCGGGTCGATCCCATTTGGCACCATCAAAATGTGGTGCTGCCTTTTCAAAATCTGGTCTTGCAACCGTCTTTGCTGTTGTGGGGATTTCCCATGCTGGGACACCCCAACCATGTTCCGTGGCTTTGGTACTATTGGCCATGGTAGGATCTGCCCCAGGCCAACTCATTTTCGAAATCTCACCAGTACTACTCCAATATGGACTCTTGGTTTGCAAGTACACAACCAATTCTGAGGAATCACTGGCAAGATACACGTATTCCGTTTCTGGCATGACCCGGACAGCACATTCAACCGCATGGTTGGCCAAGGTGGAAATAATGCGACTGGTGTTGGTATCCTCCATGTCTAATTCACCACCCTCTTTATCTGCCTTCCACCATTTTTGATTCTTGTAATTGAGTCTACCAAAGGCTGGATTGGGCCACTTTGCTCTAACGTGTGCCACAGCATACATCCCTGCCTTTAGTTTTTTGGTGAGAGGTGACAGGGACTTGGCCACTCCAGGGGAAGGTTGAAAGAGACGTCGAAAGAGTGCTGGCCAGAGGTCATCTGCTGGTGTCCCTACCAGCTCGTCTTGTCGTGGTTGCACTGCAGGAATGGCCAAATTGGAATTCATGAAAATGACTTTTTTGTCTTTCCATTTGTCCTCTTCTATTCTGGTGTGCCAGGCAACTCGCCGTTCGCCCTTGTATTGGTTTGCCGTGCGATTGCCATATTCGTACCATTCATCCATCAAATATCCATCTGGTAGGCGCCAATCAAAACCATCTGGTGGTGGTACCAAGAATTCTTCGAGTGGGAGTGGTTTGTAGTACTTGATCAAGAATTTGCGTCCTGTTTTGTGTGCCAACCAAAGCTGGTACGGCATTAGTGCCAATCGATCAGAAAACCCACCACAGTCTTCTAGTTTGTTATTGGAATGTTTGTAACAGGTAATGACAATGAATTTGTTGTCTGGATTGGTGAGCATTTCATGATGGGCTTGTGGATTATTGGCAGGCTGTGTCTTTAAGAATTCATCCAGCCATTCAGGCAGAGCAAATCTGTTTCGGTGGTCTCGGTATTGGACAAAGTCATGCTCGTAGTTGTAGTCAATCACAGGAATCAGTGGGAAGTTTGTATTGTCTGGGATGTCAATTTTTGGTCTTGGAAGTTCAGTTTCTGTTGGGCTTGGTGTCTTTGGTGCCTCTGTAGGATTTGGAGTGAGCTTTGGGGTAGCAGAAGCATCGGTAGGATTTGGAGTTTTTGATGTTGCTGCGGCTGGTTGCGTCTTTGTTGACACCTGTTCTGTTTCTACCACGTCTGTAGCTTTTTTCTGGTTGTGTTGCTTGGCCGTTGTCGTTTTGTGTTTGGTCACATTCTTGCCACCATGTTGTTTCAATTTGGCAATCAAGTTCTCCATCATTTCTTTTTCCTGCTCTTGTGGCAGATCCCATTCATCCAATTCATGACTGACCTTGGTCAACAAGACGCCATGATGGCTATCCGTCACCTTGACCACAGTATGCCCCCCTTCCAATTCTCTTGCTTCGGCACTCTTTTTCACACCAAATGACTCAAACAGATTGCCTGAAAATTCACTAATCTCCACAAAGTTGTACATGACGGGTGGAATTGATAGAAACACAAGGACCTTAATCACCGTAGATCGGCTAAACCTCGTCCTGCTCGATGGTTGTTCCTTTTGCGTTGTTGTCGTCGTTACAGCAGCACCATTTGTCTGGCGCTCATTGAATGTCGATTGTCTCGCGGGAGGATCGGGAGCCTTCCTCGTCTTGGTCGATTCTCCTCCCACTGCTTTAGGATCTGTAGCCTTCCTCATCTTGTTGGAAACACCGCTCTTGCCTCCGTTGTCTGGTTCTAAGGATGGTTGTGGATGGATGCAGGAATCTCTTTTCGTTGTTTTTGCTTGGGTTGTTTGCGTGCTTCTGATGAAGTCATTGTTGGTCATGGAAATTGGCTTTGAATGCCTTTCGCGTTGACCCTCGTAAGATCTTCGTGTTAGCGAGCTGGCGGGTACCGGTACCACCAGGTGTGTGACTCATCTTCATCCATTGAGTCACTAATAAACGTCAGTGCAAAAGCTAAAGCTGAGTTTTGACAATGACACCGAAACAGACAAGGATACCGTTGGCACTCGTTTCGCACAAACTAACTGGAAACACCTCCATTGATACTGTTGGACAACCATGAACATGAAAACTCTTGCTGTTACACTGTGCTGTCTCTTTTCTGTGGCTTGTGGCTTTCAGCCGCAGCAAGCTCCATCTTCAACGAAGTTGCAACCGTTGCAAATGACAATGGATCGACGTTCTTTACTGGCCACGGCCGTAATTCCAATGATACTGTTAAAACCAGAAATGGCTCAAGCCGGTATTGATCCTACTCTTTTAAAGTCTTTGCCAGTGCAAGGAGACGAAACAGGCGCCGCTCAAAGGTTGCGCCAAGTGGAATCCATCCAAAGACCAGCTTCAGATTTGGTGCAAATGCCATTTGAAGAATTACCAAGTGGAGTCAGTTATCGGGAGTATCGAGAGGGAAAGGGAGAAGCAGGTAAGTGGGTTGATGCAAGGAAAAACACTGTTCAAGATATGACCATGTGAACGACACAAGATCTCACAGAACAAAACTCCCTCATTTTATCTTCTCCCCTTTCATACTTTCAATTTGTACCTACTATAGTCGTCCAAGAAGGTTCCAAAGTTGCTGTTGAAATGACTATCCGATGCAAGAGTTTTGCTACGGCCAATGAACCAGGCGGCCTCAAATACTTCTCCACCAAAGATGACACGGAGTTCAATGAATTGGCCTGGACAGTCGGGCGTGGAGAATCCCCACCGGGCCTCGAAGAAGGAATGATGGGTATGCACAAGAATGCCGTGCGTCGAATTGAAATACCTTCCACCATGACCTTTGCCGCACGAAACGCCAATCAGCTGCCACTGCCAACTACGAAGGATGGGAAACGGAGATTCGATCAATTGTTCAAGACCGATGCCACGTTGCTTTTTGAGGTGTTGGTCACGAGAATCAAATAAATGATAACTAACACAACAACAAGTACCTGTAGTGGGCAAATGCCATTTGACACTATTGGGTACGCCACTTATGGTGCCGATGATGCACTTCAATCTTAGAAAGCAAAGTTGTTCCATATCGGTACTGCTAGCTAGATGAGTCTGTATCGTACAGTCTGTAATGATTGGATCTGGCTATGCATAGTCCCGGTGAGCTCGCTAGCTTCAGGTGCAGGTCCTCGTTCTTGTCTTTGGTGCCATATCTCCGCATTTTCAAACTATTCTTGCTGTACTTGCTAGCTGGTACAAGTCTCTCCGGCCAGTTCGGAGGCCAAAACGCCACGATTACAAATCCTCAACGAAACTTCGAACGGCAACTGCCAAATTGACAGATGGCGTCACAGAAGATGAATCTATAGAATCGGTTTCAAGCTTTGAAGACCTGAAAGAGGACTGCCGGAGGACTCGGGGCGATCTTATGGCTTCGGAGAGATATCCAGTATACACGCGACCGAGCCAAATTATTGACATCGGCAGAAACAGAATAAACGGCAACTGAAAAACTACGTGTAGTATGATTCCATGCATGCAGTAATACTGTGCTGCTCCTGTCGTATCCAGCTTCTGACACAGGGCACTGGATCATTCATTCATCCTTGCCTATAGTTGCTCCCGCCCTCACAAGAGCAATTGCAGCCACAAAGCAAAGAGGTACAATCAAACATCACTTCATTGGTGGCTGCAACGCAGGGATTCAAGCTATTGCTGATACAAGTACCATTCAGATGGCAAAGAGCCTCAGGTACATCCCAGAGAT